GGCACAGGTATTTCCAAAGTTTTATTCTACATTCTCCTTCTGGGGAATCTTCCCTTTGGGTAAAATATCAATTTATCATGAAGGGGAATCCAATGTGGGGGGGACCCATAGCAATTGTACTTTAAATTCCTTTGTCCCTAATTTTTGAGTATTTTTAACCTGGGCTTCCCAATGACCATGTTTTTGGGGTCATTATTATCAAGAGCCCCAATGAGACAAGAATCAGAATGATGATAGATCAAGCTCTGTCATGGTTAGTTTTGCCCATTTTGGATTGCAAACAAATTAGTTTGCAGTGTAGACGCCCCGTTGTTAATTCTTATGCCTAACCAACAAAAAAATTATCGTTCTTAACCCGGGGGGGTGGAAAAAAGAGCAGAGCAGCCCTGCAGAAGATCCCGTTTAGATCCATCAGGTATTAATTGTGATAACTTTTTACTACCCGCTAGGTGAGAAAAATTTTTTCTTGAGGAGGTGAAATTGCTGACCCAGAAAATGTACAGAAACCTTCAGGGACGCAAAAGGGGATAAAACACCCCAATTACTGGGGGCGCTTTTAGGTTTAACCCGTATTCCCTGGAAGCAGGTGGGAGAGATAATGATTTAACACCTGGAAAACCTGAGATAGTCCGAACTTGCACCGAAAATCACCATACGAAAGCAAAAGACTTGGCAACGATGAACATCCCCCAATGAAAAACAGGGGTGTCCTAGCACGTTAAAAGACCATACAGTAATGTCAGGGGCCCCAGATGTTTAACTGCCTCCCAGCTACATAGGGGGGTTACCCAAAAACCCCTGGCAGTCTTCAAGCGGGACGGGGGAAGCACCTAAAATCGGTTCCGATCGCCGGGGTGGGCTGTCGTTGGTTTGCGTGCGCCAACATAAACCTGGTTGATAGGCTCTGATCCCCCAGGAGGCCGGTCACGACCGGGCCCCGGGGGGGGTTTACCCCGGGAATTTCCAGGTAACTCCAGGAGTTGCTCTAACAAGTGATTTTAAAAGGGATTTTGCAATGAGCTTCTTCGGAGGGGCTTGCAGGGATGTGAATTAAATGAACACATCTTCCCCGGAGGGGTGAAATGCCTTGTTCCCCACAGTGAAAAAGTTATGCAGGGTTTAAAAAATTAATGCAATTGCATGTTTTCAAATCCATTTAGATCTGTGTGTATTTACCTCTAGACATTGTAAGATTCATTGTGACAGAGTCTGGTTCATTTCTCAACATTCTAATACCGAGTACAGTGTTGCTCTCAACAATCCTATCACTGATAACTAGAAATACCAAGCTCCTTCCTCATATTAAGAAACTTTTGTAGATCTGGGACAGCCAAGAATAATTCTAAAGGCTTGATTTTGCATTAACTCCACGGGTCGGAGAGAACTTTCTCTAGCTAATATCAACATGGGAGCAGCATAATCAATTAAGGACCTAACAAGGCTATGTACACATTCTCACGATTCTCACATTAGCACCTTTAGTTGGGGTTGTAGCCAGCAACAGCTTTGAGAGCATTTAGCCTAGCTTTGCATTTTTATTTAGTTGTGGTATAGTGGATTTGTTAAAGGGTACATCTACACCAAGATATCTGTAAGTTTTAACGTAGCTAATGATTTCACCCTGCAAATAGATGGGTGGGGAATTCGTTTTCTTGTTAAATCTTTGTTTTTGAGGAAGATATTATGAGCCAGTCGATTACAAATTGCTTGAAAATTCATTAAGAATGGTATCATCTTCTTTTTGCCCTGTTGTTGGATCATGATATCATCAGCAAAAGCTTATAGCTATATGTTTAGGTGAGGCAGGTAGAGCATTTAGGAGAGCATTAAAACAGAATATTAAATAGCATGGGACTAAGAACTCCTCCCTGCGGTGTACCTAAAGACATTTCTTTAGACTCACTTCTAAAGCCTTTATAAAGGACACAGGATACTCTTTTGACAGGTATCTATTATCCAGCGAGTAAGCTACCATCAATATTCATTTTGGCTAGTTCATGTAGTATAACGGTTCTGTTCGCAATATCAAATGCAGATTTTAGATCATGAACCCATAGAGGTAGGGGGAAAGTTGGTGTCTGATTCTGTAGTACAGTCTGTTAAGTATCATTCTTTACAAAGACAACTAGTTAAGGAGATCGGTCTAAATGTATCAGGCTGTTGGGGCTTAGGGATAGGCACAATGAGATTATTGGTCCAGGAAGTAGGAAGAACGCCCTCAATGTAACTGAGATTATACAGTGCTCCAAAGGGTTATCAGGCACGTGCCTTAGAGTTCTGAGAATATCATAGGTTATACCATCCTCTCCAGGAGCAGTTGATCGACCTTTAGTTAATGCATTATCTAATTCATACTCGGTAAAGAGGCAGTCACTCTCATTAATATTTTGGCTCATAAAATTAATCAGTTTCAACATTAATAGATGACACTGTCATGCTGTGGCTTGCATCTTCATGTCAAATATGGGGATGGGGAACAGAATGGGGGAATCGAGCTTTTCACTGTAGCCACCTCAGATTTTACTCTTTGTGTTTTGTTAGGAAGTTATAGATCCATCTACTAACTTTTCCTGTTATTCCTTTATCATATTACACCATGGTCGCACTTGTTGAAGGCTTTCCACAAGTGTGAGTTTAATTACTTGATCTTTACTGGTCATATCGGGTTCAGAAAGACAACAACTTTGCGAGAAATTACGTGTATAAATCTGACAGGTACAATCCTGAATTAACATTTCACACACATAACTGGGGAGAACTCTGGCATATCTAAAATAGATTACACTTACTGATATTGATGTACCTCGGAGACATGTAGAACTTCAGAAATAATGGGTCACCACATAACTCCTTCATGTCCACCATCTCTGCTCCCCAACTCACGTCTGGACCTTAGATTTATATGAATTTATAGTTCTTGAATTTTCATTAAATAAAATATTTCAAGCCAGTAGCAATGGTTGTATTAAAACTGGACTGTATGTGATTAATGAAATATATTTGTGAGCTTGATGTCCCCTAGCTCGATCACACACTGAGGTCCGGAGTTCGAATTTCCTCCGGTACGACTGGACAACATTAGGGACGTGTTTCCATAAGACACCTGATGCTATCCATGTTCACCCATCAGCAAAATGGGTACCTGGGTGTTAGTGGACTGGTGTGGGTCGCATCCTGGGACAAAACTGACCTAATTTGCCCGAAATGCTCAGCATAACAAGCGGCTTTCTGTATAGTAGTATGTCATTGATGTCAGCTATGGTCTGTATACCTTGTATATGTACCTGTAGTAAATAAAGATATTTTATTATTATTATAAGGATTTTTTCTATAAATTTTTTATACATTATGCAAAAAAGAAATATCTTGCCAAATTATGGTCTTCATATATTCTAATGCTTCCTTATGTAGATACCCTAATATTGGCCAATAACTGTGTGTGAGAAATAAAACACACTGGGAGGTGAGTATACACTATTACAATCACACCAGTGATCAGTTCTTCATCCCCATTAACAGGGCATCTCATTTTCTATTAATATCAGCATTAATCTGACAGTTATTTTACAGATCTGGACCTTTCAGGTATACTACACATTAGTTCTTCCTGTCATGGTAGATTTTTGGCGATAATATTTCCATTGGCCCGGAGATCCACGATTAATTAATATGGTAGATAAGACACATAGGCAACATTATTTCGAAACGTTTCGCCTACACAGTAGGCTCTTCAGTCGAGTACAGAAAGTAGGCAGGAAACAGTAGAGGGTGTTAAGACGATGTAATCAATA